GTGGTACATGGTTGTACACAAGGGTACACTTGAATGTCTGTGTATACGGATATTGCATGTTTATGCACGTTTGTGCGTATGGTATATTAGGGAAACAAAAATGAAGCCAGAGAGCAGCTGATGCAGAAGGTGGAGCTCGCAGCTAAGTGGGGCCCAGGCTAGTGAAGACTGGAGAGCCTGGCTGGTGGCCTGGGTTCCGGCCGCCTTCAGGATGGCTAGAGAGCTGGAGAAGTGTACTTTGAGATGTGTAGTTGACATGGGAGCGGCGTAACTAACACCCAGTGCTGACTTAGTATTTCAGATGACATGCTATAGAATTTGAAATAAGGCCTGAAATGAAGGGACAGGTGAGCTAGAGGCCTGGATCATGGGTTTTTTTAAAGCCACCATTATTGAATCCACACATGGAGTTCTCACTGTGAGTCCCACGCCATGTCCGTACAGCCTAGGGATGTCTCAGTTGCCTCCACGGTCTCACACACATTCCAACATCTCTAGCAAGCTTACAAAGAAATATAAGTGCCATGCCTGTGTGCACACTGGGTTGTGCTGGTGCCCACTGAGCAGGCAGGCCTGGTATGTGCTCATGAGACATTTAGGATCAAGCTTCCAATTCTCTCACACACCGGACCAGCTGCACTGTGTTGAGCTAGGTGCTGTCACTTCTGAACCCATGGTAGCTTTCTGAGTTGTTTTTCTCACTCAAGGCCTTCCAGTGTCCATAGCTGCTATATCTGAAGGCTTAAGCTTGACAGTATCAGTGTGCACACAGGTATCCACACAGGATGAGATCATATCTGTGCTTCGGATATGAATGGACTGAATGACTGAGCCAATGAAGGGAATACGTGTGTTCAGGGTCACTAAGGAGGTCATTTGGGGAAGGGGCACCCTGTCCCCAAGGAAACAGTCTGAGAAAGGTTAGTGTGCATTCCCCACACTCATCTGGCTTTCGTCACCACGGGCTATCTAGGCTCAGCTGTGCAAAGCATCCTGTTTCCCTCTGACAGTCACACGTGTTTGCTGTATCCTCCCAGGCTGAGGGGTAGCTGAGAATTCCATACTTCTGACACGCTGTGCTGAAGGCTGACTTCAGTGCCCTGAGGGTGGGAGACTGGAACCTCCAGTCACTTCTTTTTAAAAATTTTATTTTTATTTAAATTAGAAACAAGCTTGTTTCACATGTCAGTCCCAGCCTCCTCTCCCTTCCCTCCTCCCCTGCCCTCCCCACTAGATCCTGCAGTTTCCCACCCAATCTCCACTCTGATCCCCAGCTCCATGGTGGATCGCCAGTAACTGTCATGTCATCCAGGGCAGGGCCTAGGCCCTCCCCAAGAGTCTCAGCTGAGAGAGCCTCCCTCATTGCTGGATGGGCACTCAAAGTCTATTTGTATGCCAGGGATAAATACTACACTAAGCCCCATAGATTACCTAGGCTTCCTCATTGACACCCACATTCAGGGGTCTGGGTCAGTCTCATGATTTCCACACAGCCATCAATCTGGAGTCCAAGAGCTCTGCCTTGTTCAGGTCAGCTATTTCTGTGGGTTAAACCAGCCCAGTCTTAACTCCTTTGCCCATCAGTTCTCCCTTTCTGTCACTGGATTCCAGGAGTTCAGTTCAGTGTTTGTCTGTGGGTATCTGCCTCTGCTTTCATCAGTCACTGTTTCCCAGACTCTCTGGCAGTTCTGCAGAGAGGTTCCAGTCCTGGGGCAGCTTATTTGATTCCAGTTCGCTTTCAGAAGTGATAGGAAGGCTCTGTTTTGCTGAGCTGGGAAAACAGAGAGGAGCTGTAAATAAAACATCTGAGGGGAGATGGAGAAGATGAAGTAGACCAACCGCCGAAAGGAGACTCCCTGGTGCTAGGAAAGGCTGAGCTTGTGGGGGGCAGGGAGGAGACAGACACATCCAGGAGCTCCTGAGCTGTGGGCACCAATGACAGGCACCTGCAGGAAACAGGCTGGAACCCGTGACGGGAGCGCGGACCAGTGCATGCTCTCCTGCCAATGGAATCTCCTTATTCTTTAGTTTTCAAAAGAAGAAACGATTTTCTATAATTATTTCTTTCTTCCAGGCACAAACAAGCAACCAGGACCAGGTTTTTAGAGGATTTGCATTTGTCTTCTGACCATAGTCTAGTCATCCTTGCTGTTAGTTGAACATGTTCTAATTGTGGCTGAAATACATGGGAACTAACAGATAAATGGACCAGTTATCAACATGACAAGCTGACAGCTGTGGGGACTTGGAAGCATGATTAAGAATTTCTTTGGTCATCTTTCCATAAAGATATGGGCATCTCTCCCTTCCCTCCTTTTGCATTTGAGCTGTATATTATTGGATCAATGGGAAAAACAAAACAAAACAAAACAAAACAACAACAACAACAACAAAACAGGAATGGTTGTCTAAATCCTCAGCCCAGGCTTTAAAAGACAATGGTTTTGATACTACTGTGCTTTGAACGTGAAGTGACTGACACAGGCTCATGTTTGGAATGCTTTGTCTTCAGTGGCCAACACTATTTTGGAAACTTAGGCTGTGGGTCTGAGTTGGAGATAGTAGGTCACTTTTGGGAGTAGATTATCCCTAACCACTCTCTTACTCTCTGTTTGCTGACCCACTGTTCACGTATACTTTCATTGCTGTGATAAAAACACTTTGACCAAAGAAACTTAGGGTCTGAGAGGGTTTATTGGGGTTATACTTTGAGATTATAGTCCATCACATGGAAAGTCATGCAGGAACTTGAAGGAAAAAAAACCATTGCTGCCTTGCTTACTGGCACATGCTAGATTTCTTACACAACCCAAGGCCAACTTCACAGGGTTCGTACTACCCACAGTGGGCTGGACCCTCCATATCAATTAACAATGAAGGACCTTCCCACAAACCAATTTGCTGTAGGCAATCTCTCAGTCAAGACTTTCTTCCCAGATTACTCTAGACTGTACCAAGCTGACAATTGAGACTAACTAGGATATGTACCATGATATGAACTACACTATCCAGCCATGATGGTTAGGACTCTCTGAAAACATGAGCCAAAACAGATTTCTTTAAATGGTTTCTGTCAGGTGTTTTGTGACAGTGACACCTGGTCTGGGAGCCCAGCCACTATTCTATGTGGAATCTGAAACTGCTCAATGGAGGGTCCCACTCAGAGAGGACCAACCTGCCAGTTCTATGATACACGAAGTTAGAACGGAGTCCAACTGAATTGTCCCAACTTCACTGTGTGGAGCTGAGTCCAGCTTCCCTGATGAGCCCTGTCCAAATAATTGCATGAGAGAACAAAAATAGACAATTCTGTTTTAACTCATTCAGCTTTGGAGTGATAGATTACTCAGCAACAGATAGCTGGACCAGATGTCTGAGTGAGGCTTGTGATACTGGATGCCACAGTTATTTTTAGACATTTTGTTAGTGAAGCAAAGGCTACATGGCTCTGGTGGTCAGACTTTCAGGGTTGAAATCTCAGGCTCCTTATGGGTGTTAAAAGTAGCAGAAATCATGTGCTGTGCATAACAAGTTGGACATGTGCTGTGGCTACATCCTATGTTTTCTGCCCTAATCCTAACTTTGTGGAAGTCAGCATGTTTATTACAGCTGAAAAGTGACAAGAATTTGGTGGGAACCATTGTTTCAGGTGACAGAATTAGGGACCCTAAGGATGGGAGAGAAAATGTTTTTCATAAAATAGCCATTTCTTAAAACACAATTTTTCATGAGTAACCCTTCAACCAAAGATATCACAAATAAAAATATGGCAACGAATGTGGCATGGGAAAGACTTTTTACAAAAGCACGTCCTAAAGGGGAAGGGTGTCTCACTGACCCAGTGACAAGCACAGGTGGCACTTACTTTCCAGCCTGTGTCATTTAATGAGTCTCTTCCCAGTGATGATAAATAGAGGCCCTTGTCCCACATACGGGCTGGTAGAGGGCATTTTTCTCATTGGTGTTAAGTGGCCTGGATTTTAGTAGGATGGGATGCAAAGTCCGCACCTGTGGCCCCAGTGTCAATGACATGCTGGGCCAGCCTCCTGACACCTGGTAATCACCTGTTGATTATGACAGAAACCTCATCTCACTTCTTTAGTGAGCTGGTCAGTTCACCTGTTGCTGGCAGAGAGGAGATATGAGCCATCCTTGCTGCCTGTCCACACTTGGAAGCTTAGTGTTTCTGTCTCCTTTGGCTGGTGAAGAGGAATCGATATGGCTGGGGATATGGCAAAATCACAGCGTCCTGCCATGAACTGTCATAGCTCATGCTCAGATATTTACTAAACATTCTGTCCATCATCTTCCTAAAGATGGGCATTTGGAGCATGAAGCTCTGATGCGATTGCCTCCATCACAGGGACACACATGGCCATCTGTGCTGACTTCCAATTTCCTCATATTGCCAGCGAGCAACCACTCTGTGGATGGCTGTGCCAGGGGTGTGGAGTGCTCTGATACGGCATTCTTAAAGGGCTGGCTCAGGAGGGATGTTCAGGCGGGATGATTCAAGAGGGTCTGCTCAGGAGGGCCAGTTCAGGAGGGCCAGCTTATGAGGGACAGCCCAGGAGGGCCAGCACCAGGTCAAAAATGGCAGCTGTGGAGATGAAAGGTTCCTAGTCTGTGGATTAAACTCCTTTGAACACTAAGTTTTAGGAATTTCTTTGCCTCGGGACTTCTAAGAGCCTTTAGAATCCTGTGTCATAGTCACATGATTCTAGTGTGACCCATTTCCAGGAGTCGGTAGGGAGGCTGAGGCCATGCTCGGTAGGTACCAGCTGAGGAGCTCTGCTACCTGGGGTCAGAATTACGATGGGATGTAAGAGGAGGCAAAGCTTAGCTTTAGCATCTCTGGCTTATCTGCGGTTCTCTCCCTGCTCTCAGGGTTGTCCTACCCCGATGTGAGTGCTTGGAAGATCTCAGCCTGATTAGTATGTCCCGCTCACTGCCTCTTCATAAAAACTTCCCCTTCTGTGCCATAGATTCTGGGCGTGCCAACCAATTACTTCCTGAGATGATGAAGACACCACTGCCATGAGTTTCACCCCAAAGAGTTACCTATACTCATCCACCAAACCAGGAGTACGAAGTTTAGGTCTGGTACTAGGATTTGTTTGTACAAATTGTTTGTGTAAGGGGACAGGGAGAGCTTGCTTCCGAGTGTTTTGTCATGTGGCAGCATGCTGCTCACTTGGAAGCAAGCTCTCTCTGTCCCTCTGCTACTGTGGTTAGGGGGATATGGGCAATGGGTACACATGCAGATGGGTACATTTGGCCCTTGATTCTTGGCTCACCCAAACTGGATAGAGCACATATACACTATGGGTCACCTTGAACATGCTAACATTTGCTACTTTATCTTCTTCTAGCCAATTCTGTGCCATTTCATCCAAACCTAAGTCCCCGAGCGATGGGACATCGTGACTCTTGACAGTTCAGTGCCTGTGACTGGGTGTGGGCAGAGAGCAGATGGTGACAATGCCATACTGACTGAGTGTCTGTCTGTGGCATGGACCTGTGAGGACTCAGTGAGAGAGGAGTAAGTACTGCAACACTTGGTCACAAAGCAACGGCTTCCAGATACCTTGTTCTGGAAATGGTGGGTGGTGGCTCTGAAGGAAGTCTGAGTGGCCAGACTTTGAGCTCCTTAGGGTGACCCAAGGCCTTTCTTCTGCATTCCTTCTCAGCTGCTGGTGTCAGGCCTGCCTCTGCTGAAGCTAGCAACGCCAGAGCTATCTTGCCTTGTCCAATTCCCTCTGCCCTGTTCAAACAAGAACAGATGGCGATTGGAAAAAATGCAGCAAAGCTGGGAATATGGCATTGAGTTATTGGGTTGTTTTGATAGGATCCAGAGCTTAATATAGTCACACATGGAAGCCAGAGCTTCCATTTCATCTGGCTGTTGATTAGCTTTGGAGTGAGCTATAATAGAATTCCTTCCTGTACTGGGGACTGGTCCTGGGCTCCAAGAGGCCTTTGATCATCTGTGTCCCAAGCAAATGTTCCAGGTGAGGTTCATTGGAGCCACCCTGGGCTAAGACTCCTTCCTTCATCCTCCACTGTTATCTTGAAGTCAGTCAGTCAGTCTTTAATCTCTCTCTCTTTCTTTCTCTGCGCATCTACATGTTCCGTGTCATGAATTATCAGGTCAGATCTTAGGGGTCAGCACTCCAAAGGGGTGCTCAGGGACTGGGGATGTCTGAGATTTGACCCTGCATACAGCCTTATGTGTCAGGCTGTCACAGTTTTGTGGGTGCTGATAGAAGACACATTTTAGTTGTTTAGGTACAAAGGTGTTTATTAAGCAAAGCACAGCCATTCTCCTTGCTCTCAAGCCCCATAAGGATAAGGCAGATAGGTCCATGTAGATGCTCGCATACTCAGTGGGTGTGTGGTGGCCCCAGAAAGTGGCTCAGGCACCTGGATCATCTAATAGTAGGCATGGACACATCCATCCTTTTATATAGGGGGAGATGCTATTCCTATCTGGGGGCTTCTTGGTTAAGGCGCCATGGACCTGTTGGTGTGGTGCTTCTGTGAGGGGCTTTCTTGTACATAATAGGATGTTGGCAGCATCTTCAGCCTCTATCACCAGATGCTTAGTTGTCAGGACCCATGAAAAGGAGTTCATTCCATCTTGCTACAAGTTCAGAGAGCTCACATCTGTCTTATTATCCATAAGACATTAGTTTGTCTGCTAGAGGATGTTTTGGCCTTGGTGGTGGATGTCTCTTAGCTAAATAGACTTGGGCACGTGCATTTACTCTCAACTCTGAAGGCAGCCCCCAAAACATAGCTTCCAACATTTAGTATACTCAAACAATCCTTTACAGTAAGCATCAACATTCCTGAGAAGAATGGGCCTTATCAGAACAAAGGGGCAATCAAGTTCTATGCCTCATTGGTGGACCTGGACACAGAGGTGGATGGTAACACACCTTTGTTGTTTTGACAGCCATCCCCCAAACAAGGCATTTCTTTGTCATTGAAGATGAAAGGAACGCAACTCGGAAGATATTCTCATCAGTACTCCAGTAGTTAGGTTAGGGGTAGAGTTTAAACCAGTGACCTCTTTGGTGGCGTGACATGTTAAAATTCACCTATCAGCTGAGCATTACTATCTTAAATTGTTTCAAAGATGTGAGAATAAGTCTGCATTCTGTAACAATGTGACTGTTCCTGAAGGTTTCAAGTTTGACTGATTGTTCCTTGGATATTCCCAGTCTGTGTGTTATTTGAACAAATCACATGATCTCTTTCTGTTGAGGAGAGTAGGGCATAGATGTGACCAGCCTGAGGTAGTATGGATCCTGGCCTTGGTGGCTTGGTGGCCCTAACACTATAAGTAATAATTAAGATTATGTTTTGTGAGGATGATTGTAAATGTACTAACCAAGTGTGAAAACTTGTAATTTTTTAAATGTTAGATTTTTCACCTCAAGATATATATTGAATGCTTGATTTTGTCAGTCAGTATTCAGGTATAGATGACTGTGAATCTTAGACTTGAGTGTGGATTTGATGTGATGTAGAGTTTCAGTGAGGGATTGTCTAGATTAGGTCATCCTGTAGGCACGTCCCAGGGGAGTTGTTTTGAATATGACAACTGACATGGGAAAACCTGCCCACTGCAGGTGGCGCTATTCTCTAGTGGGGGAAGCTGCACTAAGTAAGAGCTGAGCACAAGTGCCCATGCATCGATTTGTTCCTCTGTCTCTTGACTGTGGATGCAATGTGACCAGCTGTCTTAAACTCATGCCTTGGCAGCTTCCTCGTCACAATGGACTGTAGCCTGTAATTATAAGAGAAAACACAACTTTTCTACCCTAAGTGCTTCTGTCAAAGCATGTTATCCCAGCAGCAGGAAATGGAATGAAGACAACAATAAAGCTAAATGTTGTACTCTACTGTCAACATTGCTGATGATGGTATAATGGTTTGGTGTGGTGGTGTCCTATGGTCAGGTGATTGATTATTGGACAATGGTGAGTACAGGGACCCAGCAACAACAATGGCACAGGCATTTGGCTAACTTCTTTCTAAATGCCAGCAGGATGCAGACATCAAACACTGAAGGTTACATTTTATTTACCAAGGAATGATTCAGGTTATCCTGAGACATCTGTCTACTCTGCAAGTCTGGGAATTATGGCAGAACTGATGCTACAGGTACAATGTTAAGGTTCAATACTATATCCACTCAGTATTTTAAATGGTAGATTTATCCTTACTAAAACTATTTTTCATAAATTCTTTTAACATGTCAGCATGTAGTGTTGCTAAATCGTTTTCTCTTAAAGCCCATTAAGGATACAGACAGTGCAGCTTAAATGTAATTTGTTCTTGCCCATTCTACATAATTGCACCTTTCACAAACAGTCCTATGTTCCCAACAGTGACAGCTTGGGTTCTGGTAAACTGAATTCTGATCTCCCAGTGCAGACTCTGGGGCAAGATTCAAGTTGTTTACTAGCCAGAAGATTTCAAATAAACAGCATTAGTGATTTAGATACAATGCAGGGAGCAGAGTAATGTTGGTTGCCAGAGAGAAGGGAAAGAGTCTCAGGACTCTTTCCCAAAATTGCAAAGTATCTAGGGGCACTAATATCCCCCCATTCTAGGGCATGTTTGTCCTATCTCCAACTTTGCAGTTTGATAAATGCACCCGAGCCTGTCTTGATAGACATATTTGCAAGGACGATGGAGCTGTCCACTACTCCAGTGCTGAAGTACTGAAGTCCTGGTGTGTTACCTATTCCATGTCGACTACACAAATGCAGTGAAACTGCTGGACTATTTTTAAGATATCACAAAAGGCCATTTATATCACAAAAAATTCTTCTGTCTACACAGAATTTTGCCTGTTTGTTATGCTTATGGCTTCAATTTCTTGTGTTTTTCACATAGTAGAAAATAGATAATAACAGCAAAAATCCAAATAGAGTTCATATTATTCTCTAAGAGTTTTGTAGTTGATGACATGATGCCCACTACAGCATCTTGACCTTCCCCAATTCTTGGTCACTTGTTTTTTCTTCCATAGAGAGGAAGAGTGGGAAAGTAGGCACAGATCCTCTGCCCTTCCGATAGAGCCGTTCTAAACTGTCCTCACTACACACACTAATGCCAAGATCAGAGGAGATAGGATTTGTGCAGGGTTGGTAATCTTGGGCCCAAAGTAGGAGGGGACAAAGTAAAATTTCCCTGGAAAAATCTGACAAGGGTGACGAGGACTCTTTCTTCACATATTTGAATGGCAAAGGTTTGAATGTTCAGCTGCCTGATGAATTTTTACAACACAATTTTGTGGAAAACAGCACCTGTAAAGTTTAATCAGAATATGAACTGGAGTGGCTTTGCCTTGTTTTTAATCTCTGCCATGCTTTCTCCCAGGAGTTTTGAGATGGAAATTATTCAGGGTTCTGGCCAGTGGCATATAAACACAGCCTCCTCTAAGAACAGACTCGGCATAAGCTTGGCGGAGCTTATTAAATTAGTATGTGGGATTTGATTTCATCCAAGCAATAAAATCTGCAGCTGCTTTTAAAGAAATGAAGTTGTATTATAAATGATCTCTTTGTCACCGGCAAGAATAACGCCAGTGAGATGCTTGGTCTTCCCTTCTGGTGCTTAAATCTGAAGATTCACTGTCCCTGGAAGGCTGTCCTCAGGAAAGGGGATCAGGATATGAGAGCCGGGATGGATGAGCTCCTGGCTCTCATATCGTGTATATATATGCTGGCTTCTTCTAGCAGAGGTTGGAAGTCATGGATTTCATTACCATAGTGCATTAAAGGCCAAGTGGGGGAGGGATCCAATTTGCTACTGCCTCAGTGACTCTGTGTTTTAATCAAATGGATAAAAAAGAGCCATTAACTGATGCTCAGACTGATTGAAATTGCAGGGAGGAGGGAAAGAGCTGAAACTGTGGGGAGCAGTAGAAGACCATCCCAAGCCTGCGGTGATGCTGTTGACTATAACAGATATGAACTGAGAGACTCCTGCTGAGGAAGGGGCCATGAGGAGTGGATGGCCTGCTTGTTGTTGCAGCAGCCCAGGGCCTCCCCATGATGACAGTGCCTACCTTCCTGTAATGGTCCTGTCAGGGATCCTATAAGACTCCTTCTTCACAGTGATTGACTCCTTCACAGTGATTGACAAATTCCCTTTACCCTGCACTCTGGAATCTTAATTTGAAATTCCAGGAACTTTAAGCCCTCACAATGGTGATGGTCTGTGCAGAGTCACTGAAGGCAGAAAACACATCTGCGAGCTCCCTGATGGCCACAAAGTGCTGTTCAAAGGTGGGGTGCCTGCTGCTATATCACTGTTGTGATCAGTTTCCATTCTCTGTTGTCACTGTGATTATTTTTCCTACCACTTTGAAATTTCAGATGACACAAAGCTTTATACAGCTTGTTTCACAGAGAACAGAATGTCAGCTGGCCAAAGGGAACCCTTAAAAGTATTTCTCCTGTTGAGTAACAGAGTGATACCCCTGGGAAGAGTCTCAGGGCTATGGCATGTTGCTTTCATTGGAGGGACCCAGGCATCCTGGTCACTGAGTGTGGTGTGTGCACACGGAGAGGCTGCACAGGTGAGTAAACTTCATGACCTCTGGGTTCATTCCATCATGCTGTTCTTTGTCACCCTGTCCCCTCGGATTTAGTGTTATTGCCACTAATGGGCAAATTCCAAGAGAGGATGGGGAGGTGAACTCCCTCCGGATTCCACAACAGGATGTAATGAGGGTGCGTCTGGCAAAGTGGATTGTGTGCAGATGAAGGTGCTAAAGTGACCTTGCAAGTTGGAAAGTAGGGAGTGAACTGTGAAGACCTGGGAAAGGGTGAGGGTTTCTAGGAAGTGTGTGGGAAATGCAGGTCAAAGACTCAAAACAGGCCACCAAAAGCAGATAATTAACATGGTAAACTAGGGGCAGAAATGACATAATTGCTATTCAAACTGGAGTCTGGGGCCAATGTAAGATGCAAATACACTTGCACCCTCAAAAGAAGTTTTGATTGAACTAAGAACTGGACACACCAGCCCTCCAGTGGCCCCATGGAAAGAGAAATACAGATGACTGTTGATTTTTACTTCCGGGGCAGAAGTGGAGTTGAAACCATGGATTTCCTCCTACTCTTTCCCTGCTGTCCCCCATATCCATCCTTCTTATCATGGAAGTCTAGCTTGTACTCAGTACAGGGACAGTGATTTGCCTGGGTTGCCTACCCACAAGCAAAAGGGGACTGCTTTTTAAAGCCCTGGTAAATTTCCTCTTGTCATTATCAGAGGTGTTGAAACTGGCCAAAAGCCAAGACAATTATTATTGAGGAACTTCTTGAGGAGCCTGTATGACAGTAACAAAAATAAAAGGGGATCTACAAGAGTACTGTACCCAGCACTACCCACTCTTATGCTAGGAACTACCTGGGACAAAGAGAACCTTTGGGCTATAAGTGAATTAATAAGGCATCACATAGAGAAGGAATTCTTACGAGAGTGGGGAAGGAAGCTGTTACAGCCATGAATCTTGTATTTCTGTTCATTCTTGCCATAGTGGTAAAGTAGCTATGGTTTTTGGGCTATTCATGTCTTGTACTAAAGTGGAGTCAGCCACTATCCTCCTGGTACTCAGTCAAAGAGCAGTAGCAACACATGCCCATGTCGCTGCAGCTTCTGGGAGTCTTCCTATGTCCTTGAATCTCATATAAATATGCTTCCTAGTTTCTATTAATTTTTGAAGATTAAAATATTAAAAGCAATAGTTGGGGATATTGAGTGAGCTTTCATACTAATGCTTACTACAGACAGCATTTTAATTGCCTAATGTTTGTTAGCACAAGGGAGTCTCATTGTGCCAGATGAAGCAGGGAGACCAGGGACACACAGGTACCCAGAACTCAGCCTTGCCCAAGGTCATATGGATCATGTATGTTCTCCTAAACTTCATGCCCACTGACCACTGCCTCCAGCAAAGAGTGCTATTCACTTCAGGTCCTCAGATACAGCATCTATTACCGAGTAAGCACACTTACCAAGTAAGCAATCTTAGGTTCACACAAGTAAAAAGGATATCAATGTAATTGGTTCAATGCCAGCTCTCCACTTAACAGCACTCTAATGCAGAATGTTTTGGGATATTTCACATCCTTTTCAGAAAATGACTAATGTTCCTTGGCATGGATGCATTTAAACTTATTATCTTTTATTTTACTTGCTTCCAATTGGTGTTCTTCACCAAAATGCTCTCTATCTTTGTGAACCTTGAGCATGTCCCAAAATATCTCCAGAGACAGAATAATAAATAGGTTAAAAGACTCATAAGATTCATATTTGGTCATTTGTTTAATATTGTCAAGCCATCCATACATAGAATGCAAACATACATTTTCAGGTTTGCCTGTTCCCAACAGTCTGAAAGACAAGTGTGCACTCTGTCAAGTGAGATAGCACAGTGTTCTTCCACTTTACTTACTAATTTCTTTATCAACTACAAAGGCATCTCAACCACCCATATTCATAGACCCATTGGTCCTGTAACTACTAATGAAGTCAAGGATCAGAATGTACCACTGTTTCCAGTCTGTTTCTCATCAGGAGACTACAACTCTCTGGATTTGGTCACTAATGAATTCTATCCACAGAGAAGTAAGCTGGGGTTGGAGTCCAACTTGGAGCAGTTTTATCTTTCTTTTAACATAGGATGGGGCCTCCAGGGCAATTATAGCTGGGGACCGGTTCAATGGGGGAAGGGATTCCATGGAGGAAAGACCCTCAGGCCTATTTGATACCCAGAGAGAAGAGGATCAATCTACTTATGCTGTCTTCATTGGTGGATCCCAGTAGCAGAGCCATGGTGGCATCTTAAGGAGAAACCATCCTGCCTGTGCCCCATATCCATGTTGGGCTGTATTTAACTGGCACCACACACTTCTCTTTGTGAAAGTACTTTGCAAGCAAGCTACAGTTCCAGCCCTTTCAGTGTCTTTTTTTTTTTGGGCTGGCATTCCACATGCCAATAAGCTTCCAAAGATCCCCAAAATGGTTTGTCTGCCCTACCCTTTATAGGTGGACTCACACTGGCCACACCAGTGCATGCATGTTTGCTGAGGTTACAGAGGCAACTCTGTAGCAGGTTTCAGAGTGTGTACCCTGACTGGTGGTCCTGTGTGGGTGGCTAAAGGCATGAAGTTTTCCTAGACAGCTTGCTGCGATCAGAAAGCGGTTGACCTGGATGGTTGCTGGATCAGGGTTAACATCTGCATCACTGTGAGGATCTCTCGAACAGGTTTAACATTTTAACAGGTTTGAATCTGGCAGTGGGGATTGGGAAAGTGAGCCCACACTGTGGGACCTTTTCACCTGCCTTCCCTATTCCCTTTGGGTGACCTGCTTCTGCTTTGACCCCTGACACCTGCAGAGCTTGCTCCAGCCAGAGACCTTTTGTTCAAGCAGATTCTCTTGTCCCGTTTCCTTTCTGACATTACCTCCTGGTGTCATCTTGAGGGACCTGTTGTTGTCTGACAAAACTTTTCTTTTTTTTTCTCCTCAATATATGTTTTTATTTAAATTAGAAACATGAATACTTCACATGTCAATCCCAGCTCCGTCTCCCACCCCTCCTCCCTTGTCCCTCCACTAGCTCTCCCAACCCCCCACCCAATCCCCACATCATTCGCCAGGGAGGGTGAGACCCTCCTTGGGGGATCTCCAAAGTCTTTCATTTCATCCAGGACAGGACCTAGGCCCTTCCCCATGTGTCCAGGCTGAGAGAGCATCCCTCTATTTGGAATTGGCTCCCAAAGATCATTCATATACCATGGTAAACATTGATCTACTACCCAAGGCCCCAGAGATTTCTGTGGCCTCCTCCCTGACACTACATTCATGGAGTCTGGAACAGTCCCCTGTTGGCCTCTCAGCCATCAGTCTGGGATTCAAGAGCTCCCCCCTTATCCAGTCAGCTGTCTTTGTGGGTTTCACCATCATGATCTTGACCCCTTTGCTCATCACTCCTCCATCTCTGTCACTAGGTTCCAGGAGTTCAGTTCAGTGTTTAGCTGTGGGTATCTGTCTCTGCTTCCATCAGTCATTGGATGAAGGTTCTAGGATGGCATATAAGGTAGTCATCAACCCTATCATCAAGGAGGGGCATTTAATGTAGTCTCTACACTATTGCTTAGTTTGCCAGTTGGTGTTATCCTTGTAGATCTCTGGAGATCTCACTAGTGTCAGCTCTCTCCTCAAGCCTATAATGACTCTATCTATTATGGTATCTCTCACCTGCTCTCCACTATTCTTAGCTCCTGTTCCCCCATGCCTTCTTCTCCTCTTCTCCCCCTCTTTTTTTCTTGGTTCCCTCTCCCCTCCCCTGATGTTCCCAATCTACTTAGGAGATCTTGCCTCATTCCACAACTCTGGGGTATCATGCATCTCTCTTGGGAACCCCTTTGTTTCCC